CTACAACTTTTATTTTCTATTCATCTTCCAAAAATACCCAGGGCTTCCTGTGAGCCTCATCATGGGTGCTGGGAATCAAACTTCAGTCCTGTTCAAGAGTAACCAGTACTCTCTATCACTGAGCCATCTCTCTATCCCATCTGTTTTTAGTTCTTTTTTTGGAGGGGGGGGCAAGGTTTCAAGATAGTGTTTTTCTATGTAACAGTCCTGGCTGTTTGAGAACTCACTTTGTAGACCAGGCTGGCCTCAGACTCACAGAGAATTGCCCGCCTCTGCCACCTGAGTGCTGGGATTAAAGGCCTGCCACACTACCGCCTGTCTTCTTTTTCAATTATTAATGACAATTTTATGTGCATCCTCATTTTTGATTGTGTGCCATTTGCCATAGATCTGGAGATCATTTGGTTCACATCCTAATTTGATGTCTGATGTTAAAGTGCTGAATAGGCTACATTTATTAATTCCTAAAAGGGGTTCAGATTGAAATGTAGTATGTTCAGCAATTAAAGAAAAGATAGGCATCTGTTTATAACAAGATTAATTTTTTTTTTTTTAAATTGTGGTTTCCTCGGCCATTTTCTGCCATATTCCCATTGCGCTGAATATGGTGCCAGACTGGTAGCCAGCAAGTCCTGAGGATTCTCCCATCATATCTACCCCTGTCTGTAGAAATACCGGTCTTATTACATAAGAAACACAGAGCCCAAGAGGTCCGAGCAGTAGCTAAGAGCTGAGACTAAAACCCTTTCTTATCCCTCGCTGCCGCTGTCGTCCTTCCCATAAGAAAGAGACCTACTTCCTGTGTGTCTTTTTACTGACTTTCTGTTCTGCCTAACACCTGACCACATGACCTCCTTGTCACTGCCTGTCTATACAGACCTCTAGGTCTTCTATGGTTGGTATTGAGTTTAAAGGCGTGTGTCTCCATGCTGGTGGTGTCCTTGAACACACAGAGATTTGCCTGTCATGTGATTGGGATTAAGGGTGTGTGCTACCACTGCCAGACTTCTGCTAAAGGGCTTGCTATTAGCTCTGACCCCCAGGTAACTTTATTTGTTAACATACAAATAAAATCACATTTCAGCACAAATAAAATATAACCATACCCAACCCCCTCAGAGTTGGGATTATAGGCATGTGTAGCCAGGTCCCTGAGTGCTGGGAATTTGAACTCAAGGATAATTGCATTAAGCAAGTGCTAGCCAGTGAGCCATCTTTCCTGCCCAGTATATCCATAGATAGGTTTTGACTGCAGATTGAGCCATTCAGGGGTGGAAAATATTTGAAATAAATTACATCTAGACTGAACATGTATAGACTTTTGTTCTTGTAACTATCCATACAATAGCATAATAAGTATTTATGTAACATTCACATTTTATTTGTGTTATAAATGTAGAAAAGATGTAAAGTATGAAGAGGATATGTTATGGTTTTATGCAAACGCCACTTATTTATTTTTCCATATGTACGTGTGTGCATGTACATGGGTACATGTCAGTGCAGGTACACATATTTGTGTGTGCAAGCATGTAGAGGCCCAAGGCTGATATTGGGTGTCTTGTGCTTTTTCTCCACCTTATGTGTTGAGCAGTGCTCACTAGTCATAGCTTGTCTTCTTGCTCTGTGGCTCCTGTGTGTCTCTCTGCCTCCTTGCACTGGGATTACAGGTGTGCCACCAGGAATGACTACCTGACATTTACTTAGGTTCTGAGGACCTGAACTTGTCCTCACGCTTGGTTGGTAAGTGCCATACTGGCTGAGCCACCTGCCCAGTCCATGCAGTTTTACATAAGGACCTGGGGCACCTGCAGATTTTGGTATCTGTGGTGGAAGTGCTGGCACCACTTCCTGTGGTAATGTGGACAACACTGTATCTCTCTGTATTCAAGTCGTGATTAGTTGGGTAGTATGGGTTTTCTTCTGTATCTGTATCTGTATTATAGATTTTCTATAGCACACTTGTACTTCTATATTTAAAAAAATTGAAGATAATACTTGAGACAAAGTTGGTGTGTGCAGATCTGTGTGATTTTCAGTTTTGGCTGAAATGTACTGTGGGCTTGTTCACAGTGCCATACTGAGAACAAGTTACTCACAAGGCTTGCTGCACAAAGCTCAGTGTCTGTATCGGTGTTTCTGTTTTTGTTTATTAGAGGTAACCTCAGCTTGTCTCAGCAGATGGCTAGTGTTTTGATTGAACAAGTATCATGAGACTCTTAGTCCATGTCACAAGGGGACAAGAAACTGATGACATTCACAGTTGAATGTTTTGTTTTTAGTTCCAGTTGATCAGTTTTAGCAATGGTTAAACTCAAAGTATCAGTCTAATTAATATCTGACCATACCTTTGCACTGGTTTATTGCTGGAATTTAACAGCTTTGGTGTGCACTTACATTTTATTTATTTATATCATTATCTTTTTTTGATACAGGGTTTCATGTAGCCCAGGCTGGCCTTAAGCCTATTATGTAGGCAAGGATGACCTCCAGATCTCTTGCGTCCGCTTACCAATGCTGGCATTATAGGCTTTCATTACCATGCCAGACTGAATTTTAATTTACAAGACAGAGTTCGAACAAGTGATTTAAAGAAAAGATAGGCATGTGTTTATAACAAGATTCATTTTTTTTATATCATTATTTTTTTTGACAGTGTCTATCTTTGGTTACACTTGCCAGGTAAAGCAAAAGTTCTCGGTGACTGCCAGACAGTTAGTTACTGCTCCTCACTTCTGAGAGGGTAGGAGAACAAAGGATGGGAAAACATTGATGTTCTTTCCTTAAGATGGTTTCTTAGAAAATGCTGTTTTTCTAACTCCTTGGGGGAAATGTGGCTACAAGCTTACAGTTACTACATTTTTGCCCAGAGAATGGGCTAAAGTTAGTATCATATCCTTTCTGGTTGCCAGAGGCAACAGTTTAATTTGTGCCCCAGTGGCAGTCATTTTAGAATAATTTTAGTGATTTTTGTTTTGTGTGTGTCTGAGCGTTTGTGTGTGTGTGTGTGTGTGTGTGTGTGTGTGTGTGTGTGTGTGTGTGTGTTTGGGGGTGGGCACGTGCGATGGCTCCAATAGGGAGGTCACAGGCCAGCCTCAGTTTCCCTTCTCCCTCCACCTTGGCTGAGGGAAGGTTTCCTTGTTGTTTGCTGCTCAGCTGAGCTGCTTCTGCCAGGCTCCCCGGCCCACAAGCTTTCAGGGATTCTCCTGTCTCTGTCTCTGCCTCCTGTCAAGCCATAGGAACACTGGGGGTTATAGACATGTGCTATCTACCTGCATAGATTGAGGTTCCTGGGGTTCAGACTCAGCTCCTCACATTCAGAAAGCTAGTGCTTTACCCACTGAACCATCTCCTCTGCCCCCTACCCATTTTTTTCTGCCACCTTTTCATTTCTTAGCTTTTAGAGCCTCTCACTCAGCCTCTGTCCTTCCTGAGTTCCGGGCTATCAGTGTTGGTTGTAGAAAACAAAGCTAAGGTGTAGATGGTCACTCCAGGGTCAGCCATGCTTGTGTCTTTGCACATCCCGGGGGCTGTGTAGATGCGGAGCTCCTGATCTAGTCTGTGGCTGTCAGTCTGTAGATAGACAGAAACCCAGTGCATGTGTGTTTGAAACTTGACATGGAGCGGGGGAAAGCAGCACACCCTAAGAGCTGCTTTTGAGAGGTTTGCTGTTCTTCAGTTGGTGGGTTGAGTACTCTTCTCTGCTGTTCTGTTTTCTGATGACCCTTTAGTGTTTTGTTTATCACAGACGATGAGATTCACCTACAGAAGTCTTTTAGGGTCACGGTAGTGCAAGAGTAGGATGGCCTAGTCCTCCTGGGATCTGGTCAGGTTCTGTCTGGCCATGCTTTCTTGAGTAATGGCTGCACCTGCAAAAGTCATTTTTTAAAAAAAAATATTTTATTTTATTTTACAATACCATTCAGTTCTACATATCAGCCACGGGTTCCCCTATTCTCCCCCTCCCACCCCCTCCCTTTACCCCCAGCCCACCCCCCATTCCCACCTCCTCCAGGGCAAATCTTCCCCCGAGGACTGAGATCAACCTGGTAGACTCAGTCCAGGCAGGTCCAGTCCCTTCCTCCCAGACTGAGCCAAGCGTCCCTGCATAAGCTCCAGGTTTCAAACAGCCAACTCATGCAATGAGCACAGGACTTGGTCCCACTGCCTAGTTGCCTCCCAAACTGATCAAGCCAATCAACTGTCTCACCTATTCAGAGGGCCTGATCCAGCTGGGGGCCCCTCAGCCTTTGGTTCATAGTTCATGTGTTTCCATTCATTTGGCTATTTTTTTCAATAATTGAGTAGAACCGAAATTTATTATAAGCCACAGTCGTCCTAGGGACCTCCATGCTATATATATAGCCTCCATGGTTCTATGGGTTGTGGTCTGATTGTTCTTTATTTTATATCTAGAATCCACTTATGAGTGAGTACATACCATGACTGTCTTTCTGGGTTTGGATTACCTCACTCAGGATGATTTTTTCTAGTTCCATCCATTTGCCTGCAAATTTCATGCTTTCATTGTTTTTCTCTGCTGAGTAGTACTCCATTGTGTATATGTACCACATTTTTTTCATCTATTCTTCCGTTGATGGGCATCTGGGTTGTTTCCAGGTTCTGGCTATTACAAATAGTGCTGCTATGAACATAGCTGAGCTTGTATCTTTATGGTATGAATCACCATTCCTTGGGTATATGCCCAAGAGTGGGATGGCTGGGTCTTGAGGTAGTTCGATTCCTAGTTTTCTGAGAAACCACCATACTGATTTCCACAGTGGTTGTACAAGTTTACATTCCCACCAACAGTGGAGGAGTGTTCCCTTTGCTCCACATCCTCTCCAACATTGACTGTCATTGGTGTTTTTGGCAAAAGTCATTTTTATGTGACAAATGTTAGACTTGAAAGTATGTCTTCAGAGTAAACAGGGGAGAAAAGGTATAATTCTTACACTTGTGTCTACAATCAGAACTCGTTTTTTCCTCTCTTAATGCAGAGTGGACCCAGATATCTACCAGGTACCTTAGAGAGCAGCTGGTTAAGATCTCTGACTTTTACCACATGGCCTCCAGTACAGGTGATGGTCCTGTCCCTGTGCCACCAGAGGTTGAGCAAGCCATGAAGCAGTGGGAGTACAACGAGAAGCTGGCATTTCACATGTTCCAGGTAATCTGATCAAGGCATGCAAGAAAAGGACACCTTCCATATGCAGTCATGTGCTTATCACACATGTCTTATCATACAGTCATGTGTTTATCACAGAGTATACTTATGTCTAAATGTAGATGGTATGGCCTGCTACATACTTAGACTATGTGACACAGTATATACCTGTTATATGTGGTCTTTGGTTGACCAAAACATGCTGGCAAATGTCTATAGTTACATATTCTGTGGCTAAATGATATATCTTTATATGAACTGATGCATTCACAGAGAGAAGTTTAACATTTGTATGTAAATGAAATTTTTGAGGCAAGTTCTTATTGGCCTTGAACTCAATCATGCAGACCATGCTTGCTTTCTCTGCCTGTCTGGGGTTAAACGCATGCACTACAGTGCCAGGCACATCTCTTACAGCACATTCAAGGTAACACGTGTGCTCTGTGATGACAGTTTATTACACACATTTGTCTCCACTTGTCAGTGACATCAGGTATTTTTTTTGCCATTAATTACTTTGTAATTGTGCTATTAAGAGCAACCCTCTTAGACTATTTTGCAAATTAGATATATTTATTTAGAAACACCTTTGTGCTGACGCTTTCTATCTCATAACAGATCTCCTCTGCCATTGAATTATTCCATGTAAAGGTCGTCTTCATTTAGTTCAGTTGTATCTTGAAATGAAAATTTAAGGGGTGGATTAAGGGCAACCAGGAACTATGGGATTCTCACCCAGACAATCTCCTGTAATTATGATTGATCAGCGGAGGTCAATTGTGGTGTTATTTGCCTTTGTTTTCATTCCTGACAAGATGTATTTAGCTAAATCCTATTATTAGCCCAGATTTTCATTACCCATTATGTTAATCAAAGAGGAAAAGAATACGTGATTTTTAAGTGTTGCATTTAGAACTTTAATTATAATATCCAGGTAGCAAGTGAGTTTTAGAAACAGCTCACATAGTAAAGCAAACAAGCCAGAAGCTGTGTGGTTCTTTTGTGAAGCAGCATTGTTAGTTTTTAGATGACTAAGCACAGCTCTTTAAAACCCCAGCCCCGTTTGTGCTGACCGCTTCAGAGCCTGCTCCGCACTGTTACAGCTTTTTACTAATCTAGCCATTTAGTTGGCATCTCAGAAGTGTATTTTCTCAGCACACTTTGTGCTTTTATTAAGATTATGTACTAGAGTAACATTTATTAAATTCATTTATTGTCAGTGTGTGTGTGTGTGTGTGTGTGTGTGTATACACACACGTGCGCGCGCATGTGCTATTGCTTGTTCTGTCTATGTGGATACCTGGAGGCCAAAGGTCAACACTTGCATTCCTCAGAAGCCCGCCATCTTGTTTTCTGTAACAAAGTCTCTCACTGGGACTTCGGGCTTAGTCTACCTTGGCTGACTAATGAGTTCCAAGGGTCTGCCTTTACCTACTTCTTTGCCCTGGATTCCAGGGACATGCCATCATGTTTAATATTTATTTATTTACTTATTATTTTTTAATGTGGGTACTGGGAATTGAACTCAGGTCCTCATGCTGTACAGCGAACATTTAACATTGTGACCTGTCTCCCCAGCCCCAGGATCCTTTTTCAAAATTAATTTTGTTACCTTGTGTTCACCATCATTGCACATTAATGGAAAGTTTATTTTAAATATTTACTAAAATTTATAAATATGGCATATGATTTTCACAAAACATGGCTTGTTTTCTGTTTTGAAGTCTTTCATCCTATGAGTCATAATACCAAGACTGTGATATGATATTAAGTGGATATTAAGTGGATATGTCTAGAAAGTCATACAAATGTGTTTGTACATGTGTGTGAATACATGCAGGCCTGTGTGTGCATTTGAGTGTGTATGAAGTCAGTTGATAGAGGACGAGTATGTCAGGATTAGTGGCATCTCTGAGATTTAGCTCAGAAGTAGAGGGGCTTGTCAAATGCCTTGGGTTAGAAGACACAAAAAGATAAGAGAACAGAGACCATGCCAGGCCAGTGAGATATTTAGGAAGATAAGTAGAGATGTAATTGTTTTTTATCCTGGTTGTATATGATTATTTTATAGTTTTTTTTTATTGAAAAGTATTTTTTCCTTCATTTAATGGGCCATTAAATTGATATTTCAAATAACTCATTTATAGGTAGGTGAATCTGAGAGTCATTTAAGAATTATTCTGGGGCCAGCGACTATTTCAGATCTTTGAGACAGTGGGATGAGCAGTCTTTCTACAGAGTGATCTCTGTTAGCCCCGTCTCCTCCCTGAAAACGAGTCCATGCTCCTGATAGCTTGTTGGGTTCCGTCAGTCTGGAGTGTGATGGCTTCTGAATATCTGAATTAAAAAATCAGTTCAGAATGAAGCAAATTTTTTGGTTTTGGACTGTGGATTGTGATACTCTTACTGTGACAGTTACACAGGATTGAATTTATATGTAAGCATATTTTAAAAACTTAGGTTTTCTTTAACATTAGTAGTGTGCTTTTTCTTTATTTAAGGAAGGAATGTTGGAAAAACACGAGTATTTGACATGGATCCTGGACGTCTTAGAAAAGATCAGACCAGTGGACGACAGCCTTCTCAAGCTCCTTTTGCCCCTGATGCTGCAGGTATGGCTCATCTCACCCGTGCCTAGTTGATTTTATGGCAAGAGATGAGTCTGATAAGAATAATTATGTAAGGAGAGGTAGAAAGGGGAAAACTATTCCTTTTGAAAGGGAAAAAATAGTTTTAAATGCCCCGGAAGCATTTGTATTGTGCTCGTGTCCATAGTTTTGTTTTGTGGTTTTTTTTTAATCCAAAGGTAATTTCATATTGGTTTTCTCCTATATCTGAGCAACACAGCCTGCAGGTGCTGCCTCTGTTCACCCATGACTGTGGGACAGAGAGCAGAGCATCACCTGTATTCTTACGGTATCTTTTATGTACATTGGGTTAAGACTGATTTGTCAAATAATGTGAAATAATGGCTATTTGAATGAGATTTGTTTTTTTCTTGGAAAAGTAGTACATAGAGGTGTTGATAATTGGAATGACTAGGAAGTGCATCACTGGGCACCACTTTCTTGTGTCACTCATACCTGGAGCTGCACACGAGAGTCTCGTGTGTCCCTTCTCAGTTAGCCCCTGCAATGTCTGCGCTTGACTTTTTTGTTTAGCCCTCACCAGATGGGGGTGTGAGCTCTAGGAAAGTCACCACCAGGAACTGAGATACGTTGTAAGTAGAAAGTGCACACCAGATTTCAGACTTCACGTAAAAATGTATACCCTGGATACGTTTTACATCCATTACTTGTTAAAGCGATACGGTTCAGAAATAGTTGGGTTAAATACAACTTGTTATTCTTTTCGGCTTTTATTTTCCTTTTTTAAAGGTTTATTTTTATTTATGTGCGTATGTGTGTGCCTGCATGAGCTAATGTGCATCGCATGCATGTAGGTGCCTGCAGAAGACAGAGGGCTTTGATCCCTTGGATCTGGAGTTAGAAGTACTTGTGAGCCTCTTGATGTAGGGGCGCTGAGAACCACACAGTAAGCATTCTGTAACTGCCGGACTATCTCTTGAATCCCTGTTTTATTTTCTTAATGGTTTACTGGAAAAATTCAAGACTATATATGTGGCTTACTTTATGTTTATTGCTGGATAACATTGGCCTGTACTGTATATGTGCCTTTCTTCCATGGTAAGGAGAGTCAGATTGAAATCGTTGTTTTGAAGCATAAGGCATGACTGACTCCTGCTGTCCTTTTTCCTCTCTCCCAGTATTCAGATGAGTTCGTGCAGTCAGCCTACCTGTCTCGTCGGCTAGCGTACTTTTGTGCCCGGCGTCTTTCCTTGCTACTGAGTGATAGCCCCAACCTCCTTGCTGCTCACTCACCCCACATGATAATCGGAGCAAACAACACGAGTATCGGGACCCCCAGTCCTGGCACCCCTGGCCCTGGTATGAGCCCCATGCAGCTGGCCTTCTCGGATTTCCTTTCCTGTGCACAGCATGGCCCCTTGGTTTATGGACTTAGTTGTATGTTGCAGGTAAGTCCATTAATGGTCTGTATTTTATGTTAAAATTCATTGTGGGAAGGACCTGGTAACTTTTATTAGAAATTTATGATCTATTACTGTTCGTTAGATCAGACTGAGAGATTTGTTGTATCTATGCAGAAGAACATTACTGTGATTGTCCTTTGTGGTATTTTTGTTGAATTGGAGACAGGCTAGAGATGCTAGGCTGGGCTGAAACTTAGAGCAGTCCTCAGGCTCCCGAATGCTCTGATTCCAGGTGAGTGCTGCCACACCTGGCTTTTTGCTGCCTATTTTTTTGCATGGTTAAGTAGTTCGATTGCATTTCCTTCGAGGAGAACCCATAGTTCAAGTCAGCCATGTTGTTGTTCTGGCGAGACAGCGTCTCTGGGCAGCATTCTCAATGTCTGCAGTTGGCATCGTGAGCTGGACGCCTCTCTCGATGCCTCTGGGTTTCCTTAGAGTCAGGCATTGTTCCTTGTGTTGTCCCTGAATACAGCAGTGTGCTGGTTCTGGGTCCTTCAGTTAGGCATGAGAGCAGTTCCCAGAGCTGCCACCTTAGTGTTCAGTTTCTGTTTCTCTAGTTCTTAGTGTGGCTTGCCCTTTACCAAGGGGTTCTGGAATCGGGGTGTTTGGGAAGACATGGTCTCCATGGCGTTCACTGTCCCGATGAGAAGAAAGAGTTATAAATGTAGTTTGTGTATCATATGCTAAGTGTTAATGGAGAGATACCCAAAGGGCTGTGGTGGTTCAAAAGGGAACTTCTTGTTCAGCTTGAAAGCCAGGGAGGCTTTCCCAGGCAACTTTTGTAGGTGTTTTGTAGCTTCAGTGGAAAGAGGTTTCCTGGGTGAGGGGCGGGGTAGCAGAGAAAAAAGGTCAGAGAACACGTTAGTCACCTGTGTGCAGGTAGAGTCTGGTGGGGGTTAGTGAGTGGAAGAGCTTCTGGGCCTTAGGCTCAGGTGTCTTTAGATAGTTTTATATCAATGAAGTGACACTGTGAATTGTACTTTAGTCATTTGTTTTGGCCAGAGAACGAAAGAAGTTGGTGGGAGAGCACAGCTCAGAAAGAGGGAGTTAGGGCAGAGAAATACATTTGGAGGTATCTAAGCGATGCCCCCTGTTGTCTGCTTAAGTTCACATCAGAAGAGACAACTATCAGTAGATTATTGAAAGAACTCAGGAAAGAAAAAAAAACCATATACTGAGCATGCACAGACATTATGTCTTATTTCTAAACTAACATAGTGTGGCGGCTATTCACATGCCGCTCATATAATGGAGAGATGATTTGAAGAATGCACAGGATTGCACAGATTATGTGCAAACACTATGCAATTTTAGATGGGTGAATGAGCATCTATGGGTTTGGGTATCTGAGAAGGGCCTCGGAACTAGTACCTCACAAATCCAAAAGATGCCAGGATTGTTTGCCAGGACTGTTTTGTTTTTTTTCCCTTGTAGAACCCCTAAGTGGATACGCCCAAGAAATGGTTACATTTCTAGTTCTGAAGACTAGGGTAGACCTGAGATGGGTTGGGGCTGCCCACAGAGCTCATAGTGAAAAATGCCTTACCTGAAAGGCACATGTGGTCGAGAGCTGATGAGGGGAGTTCATCAAAGAGGATAGGAGAGTTGGGTATACAAGGAGACAGGGAATTACAGTCTAGAAACAGACAGGCGTAACAAAACTACTGTCGTAGTTTTATATCCTTTCTACAATGTCTTTCACCGGGCGGTGGTGGCGCACACTTAATCCTAGCACTCGGGAGGCAGAGGCATGCCGATCTCTGTGAGTTTGAGGCCAACCTGGGCTACAGAGTGAGTTCCAGGAAAGGCGCAAAGCTACACAGAAAAACCCTGTGTTGAAAACAAAACAAAACAAAAAGTCTTTTGAATTGTATTGTTTAGCTTCAGGCACTGTGTTAGGTGGTGACATATTAAACCATTTGGTTTTCAGAACCAGCCTTGAGATACAGGAACCATCATTCATTTATTTTTTGATTGGCATTTTTGAGATAAGGATAAGCCAGCACACTCGACTCATGGAGCAGCTGTGGCGATTGTAGGGCCTGCTTCTTACAAGCTGGCTGAGTTTCAAAAACGTTTCCATAAAAGTTTAGAGTAGGGCTGGGGGAGTGATTCTCTAGACCAAATCTAGCCTGTGAGTCAAGAATAGGCTCACGTTGTTATTGTGTAACTAAAACAACCAAAGGAAAATATGTGACAGAAACTGTAGGTGGCCTGCAAAGCTGAAAATACTTGTTGTCCAGATTTTTATAGAAAAAGTTGGATAATTCCTGTATTGCAGTACATCTGTTGAGCATTTTGAAGCTTTAAGACACAATATTTAAGAGTTTTAAAAAAATAATAAAAATTACAATCTTAGCACTTAGTATCCTAATTGTATTTCTTTTTGTTCAACTATAAACATTCGAAGTGACAAATACTGTATTTTACTTAGCTTCCTGTGTTGGAGTATTAGCTAATCAATGACACTAATTTCTCTGTAGCTGTGCTGATGACTCTTAAGTCTTGTCTTAGCACTTGGGTAGCTGAGAATGGGAAAAGACATTTGTATCTTAAGATCATCTGTAGGAAACCTGCCATTGTTTCTTTTTTTTTTTTTAAATTGAAGTTGCTGTTAATATTTTTCTCCCTCCTCTAAATGTCTGGGATATTCCTGCTTTATTTCTAGACTGTCACTCTGTGTTGCCCAAGTGCCTTGGTGTGGAATTATTCCACAAATGAAAACAAGATCGCAAACCCAGGCTCTCCCCTGGATCTGCTGCAGGTTGCCCCTTCCAGCCTCCCCATGCCGGGTGGGAATACAGCTTTCAATCAGCAGGTAGACATTTGCTTCATTACTTTTATGAATGTTTGCATTCCCCAGAAGCACCTGGGCATGGTGGGCCATGCCTTGTCTTGACACCTGAGATATCGTAATACCTGTCCCAGCTCTGCCATGACTCTAGGTAGTAGTTTTTGGACCTTTCCCCCACTTTTTTGAAACACAGATGTTCATAAAGTGTTCTGTTACCCAGGCAGCTGCCACCCCAGGAGTTTTGATGATGACTCTGATCCTGACTGTGAGCCCTGGAATAATAGTTTGTAATGTTTAGGAGTTGTTGTGTATTTTTATTTGTGCTGCATTATTTGCTTTAAGACTCATGCAGCTTCAGTTTTGGGGTTATGACTAATACTTAGACCAAGACACTTGCCTTTCCCTAAGTTGTTTCCTTAAGTTGCTGAAGCACTACTCATTCACTTCCTGCTTAGACCAGTGGCTCGAAGATATTCGAACTCTGCCTTGCCTTACATACTGTAAAGAAATTTCACTTGCTACATTTTCCCCAGGCTTTTGTTTTTATCAGCATTTATTATTGGATCAAGTCATCACTTGTAAAGCAAAAGATGTATGGCTCATGCAGGATTTTACGTGTCCTGTGATACAGTAAAGATTGTCCCTGACCAGAGGATGAACTACTCACATAGAAAACTTGACATGATTTAGGCAGCCATTGAGAGTTTCCAAGTAGAGGTTAACATGAAGTGTTTATCTTCCAGGTCCGGGCAAGGATTTATGAGGTAGAACAGCAAATAAAACAGAGAGGCCGTGCAGTAGAAGTTCGGTGGTCTTTTGACAAGTGTCAAGAGTCGACGGCAGGTACAGTACGCCACGGAAGAGTGACGGCCTCAGGAGTGTTCGGCTTTAGGCTTTCTTTCTCATGCTTGTACGGGCTTCACATGAGTGAGGGAGCTTTACACCTTCAGCTACTGGCTTGCTGTGGTTTAGTTCTTGCAGCTCCTTGATAGTATATGCTGAGAGTTACAAAGCTCTTTCCCTTGTGTGATGGTGTTTTTTATACTCTGATAGCCTGCCTTATCTAATTGCTTCCTTAATTTCTGCATCTAGGGGTGACTATTAGTCGGGTTTTGCACACACTGGAAGTCTTGGATCGTCATTGTTTTGACCGAACTGATTCCAGCAATTCAATGGAGACGCTTTATCATAAAATTTTCTGGGCAAACCAAAACAAAGATAACCAAGAGGTAGTTAATACTACTTTTCTTCCTTTTTGTCTTGTTTTCTTCTCGTTCAGTAAATTCTGGCGACGTCTTTACTATGCTGTATGTCTTGTGAAAGCATGTGCATTACTAATCTTTCTTTTTTTGGGACCAAGATGAGTACTGTTATTATAATAAAATATACATTGGGTTGGGTCTACCTTGATATATTGATGGGAAAAATCTTTTCTTTACCTTTGGTCATCTCTACATTTTAGTTTTAGTATATTGCTTGTCTAGTGCCTGACTTTATATAGATTCTGGCTTTCGTTTGGGGGTGTAACTTAGTCTGTAGCACAGCAGGGGGCAGCACATGGCTGTATACAGACATGGTTTTTGAAAAGTCTTAACAACTATAATTTTTATTTTTTCCTATCAAAAGATTGTTTTGTTAGTGAACTGCTGGATAAATATAAAATTTTCAGAGACTGCCTTTTTTACTCAGTCTTCAGAGAAATAGAAATATTATTTTTATAATGAAAAAATGCCGCTCACATATGCAGCTTGTGTTAGATGCAAAGTAATACTGAGTAATAAAATATTAGCACATTTTCAGAGCAAACACTTTGTGTAACTTATTAAGTCTCTTTGATTTTTACTTTCACCATTGGTCATGGGTTTGTGGAAAAAAAAAAAACAATAAAAAAAAACAAAAAACACCAAAATATTTCCTTTGCCAGGCAGGACCTGACCCACATTTCATTAATTCCTCTTCTGGAATAATTTGTGAGCCATTATCTTCTTCTCAAAAACAAGTTCAAGACTGTAGGAGCCACAAAGGAACAGAGTGTTAAAAGCATGGCACATGTCAATGGAGTTTGTTTGTGTCTCTTCAGACCTGAGTTTCTGTACTTAGGAGAGCAGATGAGTCCCCATGATTCTCAGCTCATTGAGGGGAGGCATGGTGTTCTTGTCCCCAGAGATGGAAACTTTCCATCCCTGTAGCGTATGAAAGGTTTTAGGGATACCGGGATTTTCACATGTAGACATGAGTTGTCTGCAATGAGTTGTTTTTATGCTTGGTCAGCTGCTCTTCTAGAGGGCTAAGGTTCCCAGCACCCATATGGCTGCTCAGAGCCACCAGTAACTCCAGTTCTGAGAGTTCTAACACCCCTTAGGACCTCCACAAGCACCAGCGATGCATAGGAAGCACAAACATGCAGGCAAAATCTTACACGTACCCATAAATTAAAAATAAATAAGTCTTCAAGGAAAAAAATTAAAGCCTTATTCCAGTGGTTCTCAGCCGCCCTAATGCTGAGACCCTCCCTATAATACAGTTCCTCCCTGGGCGGTGGTGGTGCACGCCTTTAATCCCAGCACTCCGGAGGCAGAGGAAGGCAGATCTCTGTGAGTTCGAGGCCAGCCTGATCTACAAAGCGAGATCCAGGAAAGGCGCAAAACTACACAGAGAAACCCTGTCTCGAACCCTCCCCCCCAAAAAAGAAAACCAGTTCCTTGTGTTGTGATGACCATAAAATTATTTTTGTTGCTACTCCATAGTTGTAATTTTGCTACTGTTATGAATCGTAATGCAGACACCTAATAACGTAGGATATCTGATAAATGACCCTGAAAGGGGTCGCAACCCACAAGGTTGTGGCCTGCTGCAGTCACTCAGGGAAACTCAAATTACCCACAAACAATTGCAAAAGTAAGTGTTACGGAGGCTGCCTTACCAAGCGTAGAAATTGTATCGTGATGTTTCTGAACACAATCCCACTGTTCCCAGGACTCTCTGAGAAGCCTGGTTACTTCACAGCGGGTACCAGAAACAAGCCACTGGGTTCAAGAACTCCATTAGGTTAAATTCTAAAAAAAGCAGGCTAAGGGAAGAGAGAGTTGATTGTGGCTTACAGAGCTGGAGGGGTTAGTGCCCTTCAGGGTAGGCAGAAGACATGGCATCAGAAGGGTAAGGCTGGCCTACCAGTCCAGAAGCAGAGTGATGGCGGCTTATCTCCACACAAGAAATAGAACAGGAAATGGGGCCAGGCGATAACACTCAGAGTCTGTCCTCAGTGACATTTCCTCCAGCAGGCTTTCACATCTTAAGGTCCCATAACCTTCCCAGCCACCATAAGCTGGAGACCAAGTATTGAAACAGGGGAGCCTGTAGGGGATATTTACATTCAGACCACAACAGGACCTATATGACTGACTTGTCTTTGATCTGAGGAAGCAGGGGAGAATTTGAGCCTCCTGTTAAGGAAGGCATTCTCTGCTGTGCCACTAGAGGGCAATGTGGGCCCTATACTGAGTCCTGGATGTAGTAGCAATTTGGAGGGAATGCACATGTTGGCTTAGTGTAGCAGTAATTATAGCGAATATTGGTTACATTCTGGAAAGAGGTGTCAGCGGCTTTGTGGTTAATGTGCTATTTTTGAGTAAGACAAAAATGGTATTGTTAACCTTTAGTTCACACTTACTGCCTTTTAATCCAGGAGGATATCTGGATGGACAGCCCCATCTGTAGTATTTAACATTAACATTTAAAAAATATGGCTTTAGTATTTGTTGTGTATTTATATTAAGGTACATACTTATGTATAGGCTTGCAAGTCGCAATTTTACTTCTCCATTTACTTTTTATTGGGGTTTTCTTGTCCCCTCTTCTACCTTACCTATCTCTCTGCCTTTCCCTCTCCTCTCCCTCTTATTCTTCCCCTTCCCTCCTTCCTTCCCCTCCCCTTCCTCTCCCTTCTTATTTTGAGATAGGGTCTCACTGTGTGGCTCAGGCAGAGCTTTGAACTCAAACCTTTCCTGCCTTGGCTGTTTAGTGCTGGGATTGCAGGTGTGTGCCACTGTGCCTGGCTCAGGGGTTACTGTTTTCCTGAGCACTGCGTCACTTGTTATATTTCTGGAATTCAGAAGTGAACGCTGAATGATAGCTGTGTGGCCTAGAGCAAGTTACTTACAGTTGTATGCCTAGAGTTCATACATAATTATACAACACTTGAACGTGAATACTTTGAGATTATAAGACAGATTTTAAGTATATTCCAAAATTTGCTATTGCCTATATTTATATTGGAAGACCCAACATGATGTAGTTGTTCTCTGGTAAGACAGGTTGGTTAAGACTCAAAAACCTGCTGGGTGGTGGTGGTGGTGCATACCTTTAATCCCAGCACTTGGGAGGCAGAACCAGGTGGATCTCTGTGAGTTCAAGGCCAGCTTGGTCACAGAGAGAGATCAAGGACAGGCACCAAAATTACACAGAGAAACCCTGTGTTGAAAAACCAAACAACAACAACAACAAAAACCCCAAAACCCATCTCCTGTCTTTAAAACATACTTCCCTTTTCTTGGAGTTCCTAATTTGTCTAGGATTGATATATCATGTTAGATGGTAGAAAAAGTTACCAACCTCTGGTCCCTATGGTCTGAGGTTTGCTCTTACTCAGAACGTTTCTCCCCATACCATTTGGGGAGACTTCAGCGCCCTCCTTTCTCTGCCCTTTGGAATCACCGAGGGGGCAATCTAATTCTCTCTCCATCCTTATAAGCAATGGGGAGAACATCCATCTAGATGTGAGTGCAGCATCAGCTTCAGTATTGGTAAAAGCCCTTTAGAAATTCCAGCATACAGACGAGGATGTTGAGACCAGTTCCTGCCTGTGGTGAGAGGAGCTGACCCTACCCAGGCCTGAGGCACACTTTCCCTGATAGCTCATGGGAATGTGGCATCCTTTTCCTTTTCCCTTGACCCCCTGTGATCTGCTGGGGCTGTGTCAGCTTGAGTGTTGCTGCGGTAAAGATGGTAGGGAATTATCCTCAACACCCTTTATATTCTACTCCAGTTTTGGTGTTTTTCCAGGCAGAGCTCAGAGACTGTTTGATGGTGGTTAGGCAAGTGGTGTAGCCTGGTGTGGCGATGCCCTGTATACAGAGGGCAGCCCCTCTCAGAGACTGTTTACAGACTGGTTGTGATCGGGATACCCAACATTTCAGCAGAAGTGGAGTAGCAGGATTTGTATATAAGCCTTTCCAGGCCAAGCAGCAGATCTGTGCTGTGCCTGCCGGAATGCAGCTTGCTCCCAAGCTGCTGGTGCGTGCTTCCGTGGCATTTACTTCTGTAAGTCGGTCAGTGCTTCAGAGCCTTTTCTACTGGGTGGTGTGATGGAGTGTCAGGGCCCAGCAGCCACATGAGGGGAGTCTCAGTAGGCTGTGGGGTCCCTCAGCTTCCAGTCACTAAGTGAGTCGGTTACTGGTGACATCATTACCAAGCAGCTGGGTGGGGAGGGCCCCTCAGCTCTGCAGAGCTCTTGGACCACTTCCTTCCTCTTGGCCTCTATCCTTGGTTATGGCTGATAGGAGAGCAGAGGCAGCTGCATCTTTGGGTGCTTCAGGGATATGGATAAAGGGAAGATCCAAAAGTGGCAGGAAAAGCTGCTTTTCACTTCTTCTTCTGGGATCCCAGGAAATGGGCTTTGTACTGAGTCATGGAAAAACCAGGCCAGCTGCACCAGGCAGAGAGCTTCAGAACAGCAGCATCATGGGCGTTTCCTCCGCTCCTACTCCTAGTACCACCACCCACCCCAAACCACAAACCTACATGGTCTTGTTTATATTTGTGTCATGCTGGTTTGTGCTCAGAGTTTAGAGCTTTTAGTTAACTAGAGTCTCAAGTTTAGCATGTACTTTACCTACCTTGAATCCACTAGGCTGAGGTGCCCTGCTTGATTACTGTCGTCAAAAATCCGAGAGCTTTGTGTCTGCCTGGGCTGTGCTTGTTGCACACTTACCTTTCTCACGCCTTGGTTCTGTGACCTCGAGGTCTGTGTCTTGTGACTTCCAGCACATCATTCGTCCCTGGCTTCATGCCTGGGTTCCGGGGATGATGTGATCAGTGTATATTTACTCACTTTGGGTTCTTGTCTCGCTAAAAGACTGCTGGTGCCATAATGGGGAGGAGGATACATCCCTAGGATTCGCTTTGAATGAGAGAGAGGAGAGCCACTTAATGAAATGTGTATCTGCTTTAC